TGATATATTCATATATTTACACTTCCTATGTACATATTTGCGTACATTTATCCCTCATTCAACATCATTTTGCATCATTTAGGACTCCTTTAGCTTAGTTTAGCTTAGATTTGCATCTTAGGGTCGTAGATTAGTGTTTTGTACATATTCTTCTTCTTTTACCCTTTTTCAGGTGGCATATGTGCTAATATGGAGTTATCTGGAAATCAAGAGTCTTGAGGATTGAAGAGGAGTGTTGAAGAATAGAAGCTGGTGGCAAAAATGGGTTTATAAGCTTAAGGAGAAATGAGAGGAGCAGATATCAGTCATTGTATATCGGTAATGACCGGTAAACCGCACCTAGAACAGCGGAACGATGGAGTCTCATCAGATATACTAGAGTTCGTGATCTGGGTTGAGAATTAGGATATCGGTTGCCACTGAAATTTGGAGTACCGATATCCCAGGTTATCCCCTTGTCACGATGGAGCATCAAGACTCTCTGACTACTAGACGAGGCGCGGTTTATCGGCTGAACCTGATACTGAATACACTGATATCCCCTAATATCGATACGAGCTGATGAAGACGACCGATAGTCAGCACTGATAGGCAAACAGACCGCTACTTGGACCGCGACAAGACCGCACTGACCAAACTGGAATGGCACCCGGCATCGGTCACTTTCCCGATGTAGGAGTGACCGATTCTTCTTGCCTTTGGTTGACTTTTTACGCATTTCAATTGACTTTTGCCGGGTGACCCAATTTGTTATGGGTTGACCCGGGTACTGTTATAAGGGATATAAATATGTTTTTAACCCCTGAAAAACCTAAGTTTTTCTCTCGTCTCCTTGGAGAAGCTTTCCTTTTGCATTCTTAAGTGTTGTAGCTTCTTAGAGAATAATTCACTTGATGTTCTAAGTACTTTACATTATTAAGCTTTAATCTTATCCTTAAAGTTTCAATCTTTATGCTTGATTTCTCTTTTTTATGCATTTACGTTTCACGCATCATCCTAACTCGGTCATGACTTGTTCCTAGTCATAGCGAGTAGTCTCCTTATTGAGCAACAGATTAGTAGACTTAGAGTCTTTAGAAAGTGGCTAACATTGATTCTGCTTATTCACTACGTGTTCTCAAGTTTAGGTCGAGCTTAAAGCTAGGTTCTTGACTCGCTTCTTGAACCTTGTTGATAGGCATTTCTCTGCCCAAAAGGTGTTTGTGGGAATGCTAGAATGACCTTTTGCTTGGCTTGGTATCTTTGGCCACCAAAATTTGATGTCAAAGCGCTAAGTGAGTTTATTGGACTTGATCGGTCATGTTTGGAGAGTGTTTAAATTTGGCATCGAAAGTTAGTTAGATTTAAATACTTAACAAAGTAATTAGTGCCACGAAAGTAGACTAATTTGATTCAGTGTTCCATGCTTATGAACTGAGCCTTTCACTTAAAGTCTCTAGCTTTATTAGCCACGATTTATCGCCCCTTATTAATTGTTTACCCGTTGCTCAATACTTTCCATCTCATTACATCTAATCTTGCTTTGTTTACTTGTCACATTATTGCATTTTGATTAGGCTTATTACAACCAACTCCAACTCCTACTTATGCTTTAGCTTAACATAAATACTCCATGGTGTAGTACTCTAAATCCTAGTCTTCCTTGTGTTCGAACCATATGCTTGTTACAATTGAAACATGAATTAGGTTGATTAGGATTTTATTTGATAGGTTTGCATGCGAGAAGAACTCTCATCAGT